GGTTGTCCTTGCGGCTGCGCCAGCACACGCCCTCGGGGAAGCAGTCGCGCACCATGGCCGTAAAGACAATGTCGGCGACGCCGCCGGCGCCCTGGCTCTTTTTGAGCACGGCAAATTTGTCCAGGTACGGCACAAGGCGGCCGGTGCGGTAGGCCGTCTCTTCGTCGAGCCCGGCGGGGCGCTCCCACGTCAGGATGGCGCCGCCCTCGTACTCGCCGGCAATGATGACACCGGCCAAGGAGTTTTCGACCCGGTCCAGGTAGTCCTGAACGTCGAGCTTGCGGTTGAACGAGTCTTCGATGAGGTGGACGAGGCGGGGCAGGTCGATGCAGGTGTCGGTGAGGTGGAGGCGGGGCGCACCCGGCTGTGGCGGCGTCCAGGGCGCTTTGTACGGGTCTGGGTAGATGGTCAAGGGCATGCCCCTCTTGAGGAGGGTGGTCTGCGACATGGGCGGCTCGTCGGTAGCCGAGGTGGTGATGGTGGTCGCGCTCCGCTTCGACCGTGGCTTGATGCGGCCAATCGGTAGCGACGACGAGTAGACTGGCCGGTCGGTCAAGAGGTTGTGAATGAGCGGATTCTGGCTGCGGCGGGTGCCAACGCTGCCCACGTAGCCAAACACGTCGTCCGCGTCGTCGGCAGCGCTGCGCTCGTGCGAAACAAGGTTGGCCGCTTCGGCCGGCGTGGTCAGCAGCGCAGACGATGACGAGGGCAGCAGGGCCAGCGTGTTGCGCACAATGTCCAGGTTGGCCTTGTGGCCCTCGCTGACCACGTGGAGGGGTTGTCCGTCTGCTACCTTGAGCATCGACTTGTCGGCCATGGCATCGACCGCCTTCTTAGCCGACCGGTACTCTTCCTCGAGGTTGAGGAAGACGTGTGCACCGTTGGGCCGCAGTGCTGTCGGGGTTCCGCCTATGGGGTCGATCACGATGACGCGGTCGACCGATGCAATGGCGCCCGTTCTTCCACTCTGTTTTGTTGTTGCTTCTGAAGAATCAATGTCGGTCTGTTGCTGCATGCCGGCAAAGTACCGCGTCAAAGCCAGAACAATGTCGTCGGTGTTGACCAGCTTCGCTTCGGACTTGGTCGTCGAGAAGGCGTACGGCGGGATAACGACAATGTCGCCCTTTCGCAGGGGCCGTAAAAGATTCTCTTCGCCATCAATGTAAACCTGCCCGGGCGTGAAAGTCGATCTGCTGAGCCGAGCGTGCTGGTCGCGTTGGGCTGGTTGGCTGTCGCTGAGACCGACGGCCGAGTCGACGAGGGATGTGACGGGTTCGTTGTACTTGTCAATGGCCGCGGCAACACGCAATGTTGTGTGGGTCACGTAGTCGAACCAGCCGGGTCCATCGCCGCTGGTCGGCTGTGTGCGGCCAACGACAATAACACTAACGAGACCCAGCGCACGCAGCTGAACGAACGTCTTGGCCAGTCCCTCGAGCGTCACATCGTCGATGGTGTCGGCGTCTTGGAGCTTGACAATAGCGACGTGCGGCTGGTCGTCCATTGGCAGTTTCACTCTCTCGCTGCCGGGGCCCTGGACGAACTGCGGGCTCTGGCTGACAGCCCGGATGTTGTCGGCAGCGTAGTATGCGCCATTGGGTACCGGTGGCTGTGGGTTTGCTTGCGTTGGTACATCTTGCTTGGTTTTCTGGAATTCGCGGGCCGCGCTCTTAGGCGCACCCTTGGACGTGCCGTTGCCAAACGTCTGGAGGTATTTTTTCGCATCACGTTTTGTCGGAGACGAGGAGAGGACAGAGACGAGGAAGTCCTAAGCACCAGGAGACCAGCCCATGTCAGACATGGACCGTTTAGTGAGTCAGAAAGGGAAGAAGGGAAGGTACTTACCCTTTCTTGGGACTTCTTGTGCTTCTCATTGCGGGATATTGAGGTGTACAGCGACGTCAGGTCGACTTTCTTCTCCGCAGACGAGGAAGAAGACGAGGACACGGACCCTGTGGTCGACTGCCGGCTGCTGTTTCCGGGCTGCTTAGGCGCCGAAGCAGCCGGCCCCGCGGCGGAGCTCTTCCACCGCGTGCATGTCTTTCCGGTACGAATCTGGTCGAGTTAGACACTGTCTGGCCAAGGCGCACAATCCTGGTCAATTGGCATCGGGGTCCAAGAGGACGTCGTACTGGGGCAAAAACGGCCTGTTTCCATACGGCAGCTCGCAAAACCATGGCGCCCTTGGCGAGCCTCATAAACGCATCGTATACGGGAGTACGATGGGAGAGGGAGAGTGTGGAAGTCGTGAGAAATAAGACCGCATATGTATCAAGCGACGGGGAAATGTTCTGAACGTGGATCGCTTTCAATTCCACGCCTGACGTTAAAAATGGCCGTAACCGGTGACTCAAGCGTGTACTGGAAAGGGCGCACGATAAGATAAAGCCGCCCCTCACTGACGTCTATCGTGTAATACTCCAGAGGGGAAGGAGCTCTCCAACCCATGCCCGAGGGTAACTCGTGCCTGCTCCAAATTGCGGGGAACCAGACAGGGCAATCAAGGACCCCGCCCATTTGCTGTGTTGGTCGTGCTTTCCTCAATTGAATTGAATGGATGGCTTTTGGTGATTGGCGTCTTTCCTAAAGTGTACACTACCTGTGCAGGTAGGAAAGAGCAATGCACGTCAAGCTCTGCGTTTGTTACCGTAAAGGGGCATAGCCCAAGTCTTTTCAATTTCTAATCTATCTCTGCCTCGAACTGGAGATGCCATCGTTATGTTCAATTCGCAGTTCTACGTCGACATGCACGAGTGTTAGCTGTTCATGACGGTTCTCTATTCTTCAGGTTGTTTCTGTCCCTCCGTCTCTTATCAGTGTGGTTTGGTTAGCAACGCGGAAGGCTAACATATTCTGCCGATCTTTACGTAAGTGACCAAGGAATTTGTATGAAAGAGAACCGACATTTACGAAGCATACGAAGTATTGTATTCAGTGTCTCTCACGATTGAGGCTGGGCGGATGCCTCGGATCATTTAGGCGGACGAGTGCTCAAGGCCGGTAGACATCTGTACGTTGTAATTCGTCATGTCTTTTCGCCGATCTGAGGATCAACTTAAAACGCACAGCATATTGGAGCTACTGGTGGGTAAGCTCGAGTTCAAGTGCGATGCTACCCCGAATTTGGCGAGATGCCGAGTAGCCGCGAGGAGGGTCGTCACCGACCGGTTTCAACAATATTTAAGACATCGACTCGCGCCAACAACACACTTTAAAGAAAAGACCATACAGAATACAGCATCAAAACAAACACGCTACGCAATACACTCGTACATCCTGGCTACAATGGCACCCTCGGTCTTTTTCGTCGGTCTTGGAAACATGGGCTCCGTAAGTAGTATTCGGTTCGCCTTTTGCAGATGCGTCGACCATCCGCTGTATCCACTAACACTGCCCAGGCCATGTGCAAGAACGTTGTGCAAAAGGCCAACCTCGATAAGCCCCTCATCGTCTACAACCGGAGCAAAGACCGGTCGACGGCGCTGGTCGAGGAGCTCGCCGCGCCGGGCAAGGTGACCATTGCCGACAGCGTGGTCGCCGGCGCGAAGGAGGCGGACATTGTGTGGACGATGCTCTCCGCCGACGCCATCGTGGAGAGCGTCTATGACGAGGTGCTGTCGTCCGACGCCAACATCGAGGGCAAGCTGTTCATCCAGAGCGCCACCATCCACCCGGACACCACCGAGCGCCTCGCCGCCAAGGTCGAGAAGCGCGGTGCTCTGTTCTTGGCCGCGCCCGTCTTTGGTGCCCCCGCCATGGCCGAAGCGGGCGCTCTCGTCGGCGTGCTGTCCGGCGCAGCCGCGGCCGTCGACCGCGCCCAGTTTCTGTTCAAGGGCGTCACCTCGCGCCAAGACATCCTGCTTAAGGACGCGCCCGTGTCGCACGCGGCACTCCTCAAAGTCATTGGCAACACGTTTATCCTCAACATGGTCGAGCAGCTGGCCGAGGGCCACGTGCTGGCCGAGAAGACGGGGCTGGGCACGGGCGCAATGCACGAGCTGATGCAGGCCATCTTCCCGGGCTCCTACGTGGCCTACTCGGAGCGCATGATGTCGGGGCAGTACTACACGATGGAGCGGCCGCTGTTTGCCGTCGACCTGGCGCGCAAGGACATTGGCTTCGCGCTGAGGCTGGGCGAGAAGGTGGGCGTGACGCTGCAGAACGCGCGGACGGCCGACGCGCACCTGGTGGAGGTCAAGGCGCACGACGGCGAGACGGGCGACGTGGCGGGCATCTACGGCGCCGTGCGCCAGGAGTCCGGCCTGCCCTACGAGAACCTGAAGTAGAAGTGAAGGGTGTGTGCCGACAAGATGCGAAGAAGGGCACGAATGGGGCGCTTAGCAGATGTGACGATGAGCACTTGCAGAAAACAACCTGGAGGCGAAATTAAGTTTTATTTTCCCGGGAACTATAAAGTGTAGAAAGAAACAGATATGCACATCAGCAGTGCGGTTCTGTGCGGTCTTCGGCGTATTTCCTTGGGTCTTGATCGAGATTCACATGGAAAAAGGAAAAAGCCGCGATGGTCGTCCCCACTCAGCACAGAGTCTTACCTGTTGCTCTTGCCTGCAGTCGTCGACGTAGATCGCGTCCCAATGCGGGTGCTGCTCAGGGCCAGACCAGTGCGGGTCGCACCTGCGCCCACTAACACACAAGGATAAGGCCAAGCTTTTGCGCCTGCCTTTGCAGTTTCCTCGTTGCACGAGGGAAGGAGCTACACAGATTCTGACCAGACCACACCAAGCAGGATTTGCCTCTTTTGCTGTCTTTTTTTATCTCAAACTTTTCCCTCTGATCTACGGCTCTTCGATCTACTTCGCCAGCTATGACGCAGCCCAATTGAATCGTGTATCCGCGCTATTGTTTCTCCCTTGCCTCTGCGCGTCGCGGTTCGGGGCCTGGATTTAGATAGCACCACGGCATTGGCAGCGTAAGCCTTACGCACTGCCCCCAACAGCTGCAAACTGAAGGCCTCAACGACCTCGACCACCTCCGCCACCATGTCGTCACGACAGGCGCTCCGGCACAGCTGCTCGGCCGCTCGGGTGCACGGCGGTGCAAGATCGCCTCGGCCACGAGCACCGATGGCTGCGCACCGCCTCCCAATTTACGCCCGTCGCTTTGCATCGTCTCTCGGCGGGCCGTCAAAGACAAGCAGCGCAGTCAGAACGACAGCCACCACTGCCGCCTCACTGCTGGCCATTGGCAGTCTCCTCGTCTTCTCTCTCGCACCGCGCGACCAGCACATGCGCCTTGACGCTGCTCCGGCCCTAGAACGTCGGCGAACGACGAAAGAGACACAGCCGTCGTGGGCGCAAAACGGGAAGGATGACGACGAGGCGAGTCTTCTTTCGGCCGGGAGCGAGAGCGACATGCAAAAGGACAAGGAGGTCAGCACCATATCTGCCGTTGGCACGTGGTTCCGCGACGTCGCCAATGTCGACTGGAGCGCCATCCCCGACCGCATCACGGGCTTCATCCTGCCCGAGTGGTCCAAGATGGTCCCTGGCTTTGTGCGCAAGTTGCAGCGCGAACTCGACGCCGTGCCTGGATCCCTGTCCGACGAGATTTGGCGCGAGGCCCGTGACCCGACCGTCCACCCCGAAGTCCAGTTCGGCGCCCGCGTGCGCGTGGCGGACGACCTGTGCCGCGACGAAAAGGCCTTTCGCCAGCACCGCAAGCCCGTGACGGCGGCCGCCCTCGCCAAGTACCTCGACCTCCCTGCCGACGACGTGCACCCCGACGACGTGCCCGTGATTGCGTTGTGCGGGTCGGGCGGCGGGCTGCGCGCGCTCGTGGCCGGCACGGGCTCGCTGATGGCGGCCGAAAAGGCCGGGCTGTTTGACTGCGTGACCTACATGGCCGGCGTCAGCGGCTCCTGCTGGATGCAGACGCTGTACTTTTCGTCGTTTACGCACCAGGACTTTGGCCGCGTGGCCGACCACCTCAAGGCCCGCCTGGGCGTGCACATTGCGCACCCGCCGGAGCTGTTTGCGCTGCTGACGAGCGCACCCACGAACAAGTACCTGCTGAGCGGGGCCGTCGAGCGCTACAAGGCCGACCCGACGACCAAGTTTGGGCTGGTCGACGTCTACGGCACGCTGCTGGCTGCGCGCCTGCTGGTGCCGCGTGGCGAGCTGGACGTGAGCGCGCTCGACTACAAGATCTCGAGCCAGCGGCGGCACCTGACGCGGGGCCAGAACCCGATGCCCATCTACACGGCCGTGCGCCACGAGATCCCTGGGCTCGAGGACGACGACGGCATCAAGGACGGCGCGGTGGGCCCGTCGGCGTCGGGCGACGACGCCAAGAAAGAGGCCTGGTTCCAGTGGTTTGAGATCACGCCCTACGAGTTCTTCTGCGAAGAGTTTTCGGCGGGCATCCCCACGTGGGCCATGGGCCGCACCTTTCACCGCGGCCGGGACGTGCCGCTGGCGGCGCCCAACGGCCAGGGCGACTACCACCTGCCCGAGGTGCGCACGCCGCTGATGTTGGGCATCTTTGGCAGCGCCTTCTGCGCCACGCTCAGCCACTACTACAAGGAAATCCGCCCCATCGTCCAGAGCATCAGCGGCATGTCGGGCCTCGACGAGATGATCTGGGGCCGCAACGACGACTTGAGCAAGGTGCACCCGATCGAGCCGGCCACGCTGCCCAACCCGGTGTATGGCATGCACCCCAGCCAGCTGCCCGTGACGGTGCCGCCCGGTCTGTTTGCGCGCAAGCACATCCAGCTCATGGACGCCGGCATGTCCAACAACCTGCCGCTGTACCCGTTCCTGCGGCCCGGCCGCGGTGTCGAGGTGGTGGTCGTCTTTGACGCGTCGGCCGACATCCGCAAGGACAACTGGCTGTGCGTCGCGGACGGCTATGCCCGGCGTCGCGGCATCAAGGGCTGGCCGGTGGGTGTGGGCTGGCCGCCGGCCGACGACCCACCGGAGAAGACGGCGCAGCAGCTCAAGGACGCGGGCGCGAGCGCCGAGGCGACGCCGGACGACAAGATTGAACAGGCCAAAGCCGACCAGGCCGCGCACCAACGGCAAAACGAAACCGGCTCAACGACGACGACGACGAAGAAGGATAAGAGGATGGGTGGTGCCATTGGCAAACAGGGCTCACGTGAAGCCGAGAATGCCAAGGCGGCGGCCAAGGAGCTCGGCTACTGCACGGTGTGGGTTGGCTCGACGGCCGAGAAGGTGTCCACGGCGCAAGAGGCGGCCGAGACCGAGGCGGCGCAGAGTGGCGACAAGGAGGACAAGAAAGGCACGAAACAGGTCGAAATGGCACCGCCCATTGACGAGTCGACGCAGTGGCGGCTGACAGCGCCCGATGCGGGCCTGACGCTCGTGTACTTGCCGTACCTGGCCAACGAGGCCAAGGTACCGGGCGTCGACCCGGCGACGAGCGATTTCATGAGCACGTGGAACTTTGTGTACCAGCCCGAGGAAGTGGACAAGGCGGTGGCGCTGGCCCGGGCCAATTTCAACGAGGGCGCGGACCAGATCCGGGCGACCGTGCGGGCTGTCTACGAGCGCAAGAAGCAGATGCGGCTGGCGGCCGAGGAGCGGCACAAGAGGGAGCGGCTGCGGCGGCTGGTCAAGCAGGAGGGCAACCATTTTAATTAAGTTGGGGGCGACACAGCATGCCAATGCAATACGAATAAAAAAAGAAGAAAAAAAAATTGTAATGTAATGTAATTCATAGTAGTCTTTTGGTAATAGTACAGATGAATAGATGGTGTATGCTCCTTTTCCTTTTTGCATCTTTTACGTTGTCATGTTTATACAGCACACCGTCTCCATGGCCCCTTCCCCTTACAAAATCTCGCCAATGTCAATGTAGGCCGGCTCCCACGGCAGCGCGCCCTCCAGCAGCGTGTCGCTGGGCACGCGCACGTTCTCGCCGGGGCTGTAGAGGTACCAGGCCTTGAGGGCGTTCATCGCGGCCTTTTGGCGGGCCTGGTCGAGGCTGGCGCCGGCGCCATCGCCCAGCTTGTCGGCGCCGCTGTAGATGCCGACGACAAAGACGGGCGTGCGCGACAGGCGGCCGGTCTCGGACTCGAGGCGCGCGACCGGCGGCTCAAAGTTCTCGCGCGCGCACAGGTACGTCAGCTCGCGCGTGGGCAGCTTGAAGCGGAACAGGCGCTCGAGGTGGAGCTGGCGCGACAGCACGTGCGCGCGCACAAACGAGCGCACCGTCTCGCGGCCACCGTGGGCGTAGACGGCGCCGACGACGGCGCGCACGGCGTTGGCGTGCGCGTCGTCGGCCAAGCGCGTCTTTGTGGCGGGGTCCATGCTGCCGCCGAGGGTGGCTGCCGACGCGTCGTAGTCGGCGGGGACGTCGGCGGGGACGACGTCGCCGTCCACCGAAGCATCGGCCGGGCCCCGCTGGACCATGTCGCCAAAGTCGTCGTCCAGCACGACGCGGCTGCTGATGCCGTGGCGCCACTTGTACTTCTTGACGTTCTGGGCCTCCTTGCGCTCGTAGCCCCACCGGCCCACGACGTGGCGGTCCGCCAGCAGCGAGTACTGCAGCAGGCCCGGGTCGACCTCGGCGCCCGGCGCCGCCGCCTGCTCAATGCCCCACTGCCGCGCAATGTCGGCCAGCGCCTGCGGGCCGGCAAAGGCCTTGAGGGCGCCGTACAGGATGACCATGGGCAGGCGCGGGTACTTGACCAGTAGCCACTCGCTGACGTGGTAATGCATCAACGTGGTTCCCAGGTAGGCGAGGTTGGAGTTGTTGAAGCGCGGGCTGGGGTCCGCGGAGGCGTCGACGAGGGCGCGGGCGAGCGTCTCGAGCGGCAGGCGCTGCGACAAGCCCAGACGCGCGTGCAGGGCGGCCAGCTTGGCTGACTGGCGCGCGCGCGCCGGGAGGGGCGAGGGATAGGCGGGCGCCGTGGCAGCGTCCGGGGACAGTTCGGGGAAGCGGGGGTTGGCGCTGGGGCCGAGCCCGGGTGTGATCGTCTCGCTGGCGGCATCTGTGGTCATAAAGGTAGCGGCCGAGCCGCCGCCAAAGGCGCCATAGGGTGATGTGAAGCCGCCGGCATTTTCTGCTGAGGAGGCGGCGGCGGAGGATGTGGAGTGTTGCCTTGCTGCTGGGCGGCTCGAGGCGGCGGATAGGTTGCGGGGGGAAAGGGGGAGGTAGACGTGGATAACGGCGAGGGCGTGGATGTGGTCGTGGGACCGGCAGCGCGTGGTGGCACGGCCGAGGCGGAAGAGTGGAATGCGCACGAGGGCAGAGGCCGGGCAGCCACTGGCGGCAGCAATTGCCCTGCGAGTCTCTGCACCCGCACTCGCTTCATTGTGCGGAAGCCGGCTGTCGGATGTCTCCTTTCAGCGCGGAGGGCGAATTAGGGACGGCGTGCGGGCGTGGTTGCGGGGAATGGGCACAGGGTTCGTCGTCACGCGAGAAAAGGAGCGGTTTCGAGTGAAGCTCTGGCGATTTTTTTTTCATCGCCAAATGCAGCCCCAGCACAATGCTTCCCGGACCTTCTAGCCAATAAGAGGGGTTTTTGCTGGCCTATAATTATGGGTCCAGATCCGATTATGTAAGGCCTGCCGCCCAGCCAATAGAAGGCTGCTGATTCTTGAGAGTGGGGCCAATGCTGGTGGGCCCTGGGCGAGAGGGAAATGCAACTTGCAAAAGCGTCTTGTCAACGCAGTCTCGGCCTCCGTCCACGACAACCTCTCTCCATCATCCCACACACCTCGTCCCTCTACAATCACAATGGTATGTTGTTGGTGTGCTGTTCTCTGATGCGTTTGCAACCCAATTGGCGATACTGACTCGTTGTGCGCGCAGGGTGGCGGACCGAAGATTCCGTAAGACTTCCGAATTCCTCGACCGGTGCTGCGTTGCAGGCCGACCGTGTGCCGTCGGACGAGCGAGCAGACGCGGCAGCGGCAGCGGCAACGGCGCAGCACCACCGACAGACGCACTCCACGCCGACATATACTAATACGTCAGCAGATACCCCAAGCACGTCTGGTCGCCAGCGGGCGGCTGGTACGGCCAACCCAACAACTGGAAGAAGAACACGGCCATCGCCGGCCTGACCATCTTCGGCATCATTGCCATTGTGTGGAAGATCGACTCGGAGCTGGAGTACCGTCACAAGATGCCCGAGCCAGGGCGCTTCTTCCCGAGCAGATAGTGCGTCGCCACCCTTTCTTACAATACGATCGGTGGCTGTCCGTCAACTAACAAATCGCAGTTGGAGCAGGCAGATCATCGAGTACGAAAAGGAGCAAAAGGCCAAGGGAGAGGGTGCGGCAGAGAGCAAGTAGCAAGTAAAGCGACCCTTGTGATGGAAAGCGACGAGGATGGCCTCTGCGATCGCGCTTTGCCAGCAGGGGCCAGGACCGGCAGCACGCCGGTGTGCATATAATAACCACAAAAGCAATATAGCAGAAATGACAAAACTATTCGAAACGATATGACGGCGACTCCTGGGACAGCGCAAATTTGTGTTTGTTACGCCAGATCCTTTATTTCCGCGGTTTCTCAGCAGTCTTGAGTCATCAGTGAAGGCCGCCTGTGACTATTTTTTCTCCTGTTTCCGCCGGATCACCATGTTGCCAGCCCTTGCCAGCCCTCAATCTGTCAACCTGGCGACTCTCACAGTATGTTTCTCTCATGCTGGTAGTCAGACTTTTTACAAATTGCGTCGTAAGTCTTCATGGAGTTCGCCACATGGAACGGTCCATCGTGACGTTACTTTCAGCAACTGCAAATATAAGGCTGCAGATGGCAAGAGGTGCGTCAGCAAACATCGTCCCGCGTATTTGAGAAATGGCCGTTTTGATGTAAATTTTGGTTATACAATAACTATTGAAATAGGTTTTAGGAACGGCCTCAACTCAGAGCTGACAAGTGCCAAAATCGGGCCAGGAACCAATTGGAATGAAATGGAGGACTGGACACGAAATGAGTCTACGTCAACATCTCAACCAACTGCTGACAAGTATGGATTCCCATGACTACGCACATCGCATTTCGCGCTCTCTCCGTCTTTATGAGCGGCGTCCAATAGCGAGGACACGGAGACAAGTCGGGATTCAGGAGCAGCCGCTACGAAGTGTTAGGTCGCATTATTGAACTTTTGTTTTGAGAACATTTTTATAATTGTGCATCTTACAACAATTTCTTACCATATTTTGAAATATATCTGAAAACAATACAAACATGCGCACAATGCAGACAATTCCACCGGGAAAGATCACAGCCATCAGCCCTACCGGAAGCTCATCGGAACAAATCTACTGGCTACCGGCAAGAGACTGCATCATGAGGCCACAAGAGAGGCTACAAGCCACCACAAGACAAGCTCACCAAGAAGCCAAGCCTCGTCCGTGATCCAATACTTTCGGCAGTGGCCGAGGAGGGGGTCACCTTGTGGACGAAGTGCGTGCGACATGTGTCCTAGAAAGGCAAAACGATAGAGGTAATCATGGCGTCCTCACCGTTGCGAAATTTAAGTTCAGCCGCACACGCTGTGGCGGACGGTGCTGTCAGCATTTGTAGTCATCAAAGTGTTTGTGTATTTGCACGTCGTGTGTGTGTGTACGATGTATGTGCGTCAGCCTCTTTTCTCTTTTCCAGCTTGGTGTTGCTCAGGGCTGCATCTATTGCATCTTCCCCTGTCAGCACGAGCCGCAGTGCTTTTCTTTTTCGTCCGGAGTTGGTATGCTGCGGCAGAGTTTATTGCTGGGATCCAACCAATTCTCTGCCTTTCTCGTCGTCGCCTGTTGCCTCGCGTGCCAATATGTCTCTCTGCAGTTGTGATTGGCCGAAATGCAGCTGAAACGAGTTGCCCTGCAGAAACAAAAGCAGAGAATTGCAGAATTTGACACCGATGGTATGAGCTAAACACCAGGACAGTTTTCAGAGTACAGCCTCCTTTGCGGTGCAGCATGCGTCGTTTGGAGGAGAACAATGGTCAAGGGAATTGTGTGGCAGGCGAATGGTACGTCTGAAGGAGTCAGACGATTATATGCGAAGCAATTACGACGTAGACTATACTACAACAGGACACAGGACACCTGAGGCGCAGACATGAAACCTGAGCAGACAACGCCGATATTGAAGAGAGTCAAAATACAAACGACGAGAGAAGGCCATCACAACAAAAGACGAGAAGAAACACGATTGAACAGACTGACGAGGTTGGCGGTCCGCATCATAAAGTTGGAGAGCAGAACAGAACGAGAGCAAAGGGCCCACTCCCTTGTCTAAAAATAGCCCCCAAAAGTTCGTAAAGCCGTTGTTTGTTTCTCGTTTTCGACATGGCCAGTGGCACTAGTCCAGCACGTCCAACAATGACCGAGCACACGTCGACTGCACGGAGGACGTACGACATACTGGGGGAGGTACGTTTGTGTGCGCCTCCCGTCCAGCGGTCGAGTACACCATACATTGTAGTGCCTGACGATCCCTCTGCTCGTATTGACACAGCTCCCTTGTTTACGGCCTGCAAAAATGTCGTGCCGTTTGCCGTCGTTGCTGTCCTCTGCCGTCGCAGTCCCCTGTTGGTCCCTCTGGTTTCCCATCTTTCCCCTTTTGTCGTCTTCGCGCGCGACAAGTTCCACTGGATCCGCTTCCCCAGCCTTTTGATTTTCGATACGAAGTTGCTTTACTGGGTCGCATCCATCGCGCCTGTCGCAAGTACGGATCACTTGTACTAAGCACCACGTGCTCTTGTTCTTATAAAACAAACAATGTACTCGTATGGACGTCCCTTCATAGTCCCTGGACATGTTTATGCCATAATGCTCTGCTCGTGTTGTCGAGGCTGAACTCGAGTTGTCTACGAGGAGTTGGAGCACGACAGACGGGTCCGAGTCTGCCATAATCCCAATCTCGGCACGACGCAATCACGACGTATGAACGGAGTACGCCGTATAGCATATGCACTTGCAATGACGTCTGCTAACCGCATTTCCGTAGCTGTGTTATGCTTATTGGCATTCGTTTCTTGTCCGTCCAAATCGTATTTTCTATTGCCGCGCAGTATTGTTACCTTGCGTCTCACGGCCTCGTCCAGCCGTATCGGCAAGTCCGTTTGCCATGTCGTTTGATATTTCCTTCTACAGTTACGCATCATAATCCGGCGCATCATTTTGCTCTGCTCACCGTCCAGTGCTTGTTCAGCGCCCTCGTTTTGTCCTGCCACAGCCTCACTTGACCGACATGCAAGCAACCAATGGCGGCCGAATGGTGTGGTTTTGCCGGTCTGGAAAGGGAAGAGGCACATACGAACATGCACAAAATATCGAGAGCAGAAAACAGTACGGAACTCGGCATCTCTCAAAGCTTATCCGCACGTCCAATCCCGCCATTTCGTAGCCTCCCATTCTCTGGCCAATGCATCCCGATCCGGCAAAGCCTACAGCCGTAGTCGACACCCATCGAATCAGAAGGTGTCTTTGCCTGCTCTGTAAGTTATTTGTTGTGGGTGACCTCGCCAGAGCCATTGGCCGTATTGCTGATCAAGCCACATTTTTGTTCTATTGGCTTTCTCTCATCACCTGGTTCAGCCCTAAGAAGCGCAGCGATACAGACACATAAGTACAGTTCGTTTTGGGACGTAGCAGATCCCTTATTACGAGCTTTCTTCTCTCCACAGAATAATGCCCACTCTCGTTTTCTACCCTCTCCAGTCGGCCAGCACAGCCTCTCTCACGGAGTCTTTCTTCGTGAAGGTCACCCTCCTCTGATATCTCTTGGGTAGCTGTTTTATTATTCGTTTTCTGCCTCATTGTCTTTGTTACATTATGCCCGTCACATCTGCTGGTTCCTGGCGGCTGCACGTCAGATCAGCCCTGTGTACCTTTCCGTCTGTCGTTGCTCAAGCCTGCACGGCCCTCATAACGACAATGCCAACATGGCAGATCCCCTCGAGTGTTTCTGTCTTACTTTAACAGAGTTGTCGACCCTGGTTTAGGTCTATTTTCTTCTAATTCTTCTGTTTCTTCGTTTATCGACTGGTACGTACCTTTTTTCCACTCTTCTCCACACCTCGGACAGCTCCTCGTGTCGGTCAGGGCGCCTCCCGCATTATGTTCGTGTTAGTGCCCACCCCTGGTCCGCTGGCCTTGTCCTGCGCGGCTCCAGTTGCTAATTGGAGGGTTGGATTGGAGGGAGGGCCGGGATGTGAATGATATCGAGGAAAGACGGACAGAAATAAACACATAAGAAACCAACGGCCGCCATCTGCCTTGTAAACAGAAACAAGAAACGAATCCACACCGAATGTTGCCAGCCGGAAAACTCTCTGGCAACGAACTTTGCCGAGATCCTCGTAGCTCGCTCAGGAAGACAACAGACGCTTTGTTATGGACCCGATTTACAAGCAGATAGTGTGACTCTGTGATAGTAGAAGAAATAACCCTTTGCAGCCACGTTCTTCCACGTCTGCATGTCTGCGTCTTATATGTACATGCACTACTGGGACATTACACATCACTTCCGCCGGTAGAGGCGTCTATACCCGCCAACGACGTCAACGGCGTCAACGGCGGGCATGTGCGCTTCTTTGCGAATCGCGAACCCTCTTCGCCCTACCTTCCCCTTTTGGTTACTATTGTCTTTCTTCTTCTTTTCTGGTCACTTTCTTTTTTTTATATATATATCTATATTTTATATCCCTCCCTGTTGTCCGGCTCGGACCCATCCACCTATAACGCCATCCAGTCTCTTGACAAGCCTCCACTCGCCCTCCCCAATCTGTCGTTGATCCATCCGTTCCTGCACACGCCCCTCCCTCCCTTTTCTGCTTCGTATTCCTTACCGTCCAGCTGGACCTTGCTTGCATGCATGTACATGTGTCGATGCTGGACACATGAGTACATGCAAGCATTCAAGCATTCAAGCATTTAAGCAGAATGAATCACGCTTTGGCTCGCCATGCAGGACTGCCGGCCGATACTGACCGACAGTCTGCCACTTGCCGTCAACCCTTTACCTCGAAGCCCTTCCCGATCATCAACGCCACCGCCCTCCCAACGTCATTGGCCTCTTTGTCAGTCAAGCACTGTCATGGCTCCCGCGTCCCGCCCTCCAACCCTGCCTCGTCTTTTTCAATCCCCCCTCCCAATGGCCGGCTGAAAACAGTGAGAGAGTCATCAAGAAGAATAAAAGAAAAAAAAGGAAACGCGGCCGTACCAGTCTCCTGCGGAACCTCGTTGCCTACATGTCCCTTTATGCCCTCCTACATATATCGAATGTCACAAAATATTTTGAGCTGTAAGCCCTAAGCCCTGTCATCTTGAGTCTTGTCGCCAACAACAACATTATTTCCCTCTGTTCCTACATACTGCGTACAACACAGCTCGAAGGCATTAAAAAGGCCCATCACACGTCATATTCCCAGGTCTGTTCCGTTCCAGCGCCGGCTGTCTCATCCTTGGCGTCTACTTTCAGACATCCTGCGCCGTCCCTCTTGTTGTTGACATTCCCATTTGATTATTGATTAGTCTTTTTTTACTATTTTATTTGGAGAGAGCTGGACCTCACTTCACATTCTGCAGCCACACGTTCTACTCTCCAAACCATCTACAGCCCCATCCTCTACGCTTGGCGACGACATTCTTTACACAGCCCTGTTCTTCAACGCCTGCGAGCATCAACTGTGCAAGACGATATCGCCAATTTGTCGTCGTCCACGTCTCACGGCCCTCGCTCGCGACTGGCAACTATATAACTGCAAACATTGCCGCCCTCGAGATGAACACAGACATCATCACTCGGCAGACAGACTTTACCTTGCCATTCGCCTCGTCTTCATCCTCATCACCAACACTGTTCTCTCTCTCACATCCCCTCCATCATCAGGCGGCCACTAGCTCAACAATATGGCACCTCAAAGTGTAGGTATTGTATCACATCCCACACCACTCCCTGTATTCCTAGTGAACGACGACCGCTAACGAACGGCTCCCCCTCTCTTCCCTCCCGTCTAGGACGAAGCCAACCTCGCCCGCATCCGCGACAACCAGCGCCGCTCCCGGGCCCGCCGCAAGGAGTACCAGCAGGAGCTCGAGCAGCGCGTCCGCGCCTTTGAAGAGCAAGGCGTCGAGGCGTCGACCGAGGTGCAGCACGCCGCTCGGCGCGTGGCCGACGAGAACAAGAAGCTGCGGCGGCTGCTGCAGCAGAGCGGCGTGAGCCACGCGGCCGTGGAGGCGTACCTTCACGGCGACGTCGACGATATCGGGGACACTGGGGACACTGGGGACACTGGGGACACCGGGGACAGCGGGCCACCCGGGGCCAACGTGGCGACGCTCGAGCATCTTATGGTCCCGCGGTTCCCGCTGCAGTACGCATCGCCCCTGCTCAGTGGTGGCAGCCTCTCGGCGGCCGGGTCGGTCGGACCGAGCAGCCCGTCGGGCGGCGGTGGCGTTGACGAGACGACGACGACGTCGGCCGCCGGGTCCAGCGCGCACCGGGGCAGTGGCGGCAGCAGTGTGCACGGGAAGGGCGAGAAGAGCCACAGCCATGGCCACAGCCACAGTCACGGCCACAGTCACGGCCACAGTCACAGCCATGGCCATGGCCACCGGGACAAGGGAAAGCGGGCTTCGTCGACCTCTGCGGCCGGCACAACGACAACCACGGGCCCATCCACCGCCGACTACGGTCGCTACCTGTCCCCCGGCTACGGCTTGTCCACCGCCTTTTACGGTCTCGACGTGACCAGTGCAGAGGACTTGCACTACGGCAGCAGTTCCGGTGGTGGCGGTACAGAAGCAGGAGGTGGCGGCGGTGTTGGTGTTGGCACCGGTGCCGAGCCTATTCTGTTTGACTACAGCGTCTCGCCGCAGTATTTGGGAGAGGGCGGCGGCAGCACTACGTTTGCAACGGGTTCGGTCTCTGGCGTCTCACAGCCGCCTGCCCCGGCACCATACTATGGCATGATGGGCAGCGGCAGTGCCGGAGGCGGTGGCGGTGGAAACACGACTGGATCGTATGTGCGGACGTGCCCGGCGTGTATGTCTGGCATGGGATGCCAGGTGCACGGCGGGTTCTTTGAGGAGTAGGACGAGCGAGCAACGAGAAGCGCGAGGATTTGCAAGCTGTTTGCTTGGAAATAATGGATTTTTTTAACTTGGGCAGGACTGTTTGGGCTGGCCTGGTATGACTTACTTGGGTTGAGGATTGGGACATTCAGGACAAGGGAAAAGGGAAAAGGAAAAGGGACAGGATGGGACGATGCGTGCTGGCACAACTCCTCCCTCGGACTGCGGATCATGGGATACACACTTTACTCCGATACACTCACATTGCAGGCACGTTTTGGATACTGGGTACGGATAGAAAATACTCTTTACAGACGCGGATATGCGCCGGGTCCAAGTTCTTTGAGCCAGTGACATACGACTCCGTGAAACAACAGCAGATGGTAGAATGTACAACACAGAATAAGGCTCGCTTCTCTGGCATATGACGTGAGCTAGTGAAGGGAATAAAGCACGGCACAGATACAAAGAAAATAAAAAACGAAGATGAAGACGAAAACGAGACAAAACGAAAACGCCGGGAATCCCATTCATACATGACGCGCACCCAAAATGATACCAACGCCGTTTCGGTTGTGCCTGCCGGCAACCTTGACCCCTCTGCTCGCTTACAAAAAGTAGTCAGCCACCGGCTTCTTCGCCGGCATGCCGCGCGAGTCCTGCGGCGCCGCCGCAAACACGCGGTACCGCCGGCCGGGGCCGTTGCCCTGCCACAGCTCGGCCTCTTCGAGGGTGCCCCGCTGCGTGGCCTCGGCGCTGCGCATGGCGTCGCCGTTGCTGCGGCCAAACGAGCCCAGTCCGGACGCGTCCTCGGACAGCTCGAGGAGCGCGGCAATGTTGCCGCAGCGGTAGCAGTAGTTGGGCGCGGACCAGACGGTGACAATCGTGCCGTCAAACATCTCCTTGAACCCTTCCATGACGAGCTGGTGCGCGCGCGCCACGAGCGAGATGTCGTTGCGGTGGTTGAAGGCCTTGACGATGTTGGAGCCGAACAAAAAGCCGGCGCCGCGCGGGCTCAGGCCCCAGCCGTCGATCTCGTCCGGGTCGGACCACAGCAGGTCGCACATGGCGCCCTCGTGCGGCACCTCCTGCTTGCGGTCGAGCACGCGGATCTTGTCGATGGTGTCCACGAGCGGGCTGAGGCCGCCGTGCACGCACAGCACGGCGCCGGCCGGGTTGCCCACGGAGCCCGTGCTCGCGCCGGACGCGCCCGACCCCGGCGGGCCCGTCTTGCCGTAGGCGCTTTTCGCCGCCGCGCCGTTGGTCGACGACGACGCCAATGGCAGCGGCGCCGGCTGGGGCGCGGCCGCGGTCGTGGCCGGCACGTAGTTGCCCATGGGCAGGCCGTTGGGCCCGTTCAGGGGCACGTTCTGGTTCGCGGCCGCCACGAGCTGCTGGTGCAGCATCTGCTGCTGGTGCTGCTGCAGCTGCGCCGACGCGCCGCCCGCGCGCTCGCGCCGCTGGAAGCGGCTGACAATGTCGCCGTCCGAGTTGCACACCTCAATCTCAACCTCCTCGTCAATGTACTCCTGTTCGGTCACGGAGGCGTTGGCCGGGCCCAGCGTGTTGGACACGCCCATGACAATGGCGGCCAGCGCCAGGTAGTCAAACACGTCGCAGCAGTAGCGCCAGACGTTGGCGCTGCCGTACTTGCGCAGGCACTCGTCATAGAAGCCGTAGACGGTCGTGATCTGGCGCGACTCGTGGTTGCCGCGGATCAGCGTCATGCGGTCCGGGTAGCGGACCTTGAGGCACAGCAGCAGCAGAAACGTCTCGATGGAGTAGAAGCCGCGGTCGACAAAGTCGCCCAGGAACAGGTAGTTGGTGTCCGGCACGTCGCCCCCCACGCGGAACAGCTCCATCAGGTCGTGGAACTGCCCGTGGATGTCGCCGCAGATGGTCACCGGCGCCGTCACCTGCACGACGTTGCCCTCCTCAATCAGCAGCTCGCGCGCCTTGTGGCACAGCTCGCGCACCTGCTCCTCAGGAATCAGCCGGCACGCGCGCAGCTGCGCAATGGCCTGGTCGAGGTCGGACATGGCTGTCGTCGCTGCTGTGGCTGTCGTGACTTTTGTCGGGTGTTGTCCTGGGAGGTTGTCGCCGTGTCGTTCCTTCCGTTTTATGAGCTTCAACGGCCGCTCGCGTGTGGAGGTTGCGGCCGCATGGAAGGCGCTAGTAAAAGATAGTGCATGGGAAAGAACGATTCTCAGGGTCAGTATCACACGTGACAGATCACATTTACATACTAGCCTATTTTGTACCAGCGTCTTTTGAAAAGCGACCTGAGAGAAAGTGGTGCTGAGCCGAAGCTGGCCCACCAGCCAACCAAATCGCGGCTGTTATTAACGGCACCGGCGAAAATGCTAAAATTCAGAGCTTCGTGTACGTTGCGGACGAACGCAGACCCAGCGCACACAACGCCCCCGACGGACGACGACAACACGCGCGCCGTAACGAGCATCATCCGTCGTCGGCAGACAATTGCCGACACAGAAATTATTCCTACCAGCCCGCTCCGACCCAATTGGCCGCATAACCCTCGGATGACCCCTCCAGCCGACGAACCGAAGAACCGAAGAACCAAAGAACCTTTCGAGAGCCACACCCCACGCGCAATTCTTTGACCGGGTGCACCGTCCCCCGACATGCCACCGCCGCACCTCCACCCGCGGTCGCGCATGACCTCGTCGCTCTTTGCGACCACCGTCTTTGCCAGCTTCTTTGTCGTGGTCCTGCCGCACGTCCTGCCGTGCCCGGCGCCACGCGTCGCATTGGCCGACGGGCAGATGGCCGAGGTGGCGGCCGACGGTACCGTGGTCCCGCAGCAGCGCAGACGGCGGCGGAGACGGATGCAAGACGAGGTGATGGAGACCGCGGCACCCGTGCCCGTGCAGGTCGAGCGCGACGCCGATGGTATGGCGCGGTTTGCCATGGAGTCGGGCCAGCGGGTGACGGGCCAGCGGGTGACGAGCGACAGCGAAGCCTCCCCCTCGCCGAGTCCACGGCGGACCACCCGCGCGTGTCCGGTGCCGAAACCAGGCGGGATTGTGGGCGAGCTGCTGGGCTTTACGAGCGGCAATGCCAGTCAACAACCACAACAGCAGCAGCAGCAGCAGCAGCAGCAGCAGCAGCAGCACCTGTTGCAGTCACAACGCCAGACACAACGACAATCACTACCACATCAGCCATCGTTGGAAAAATAGCAGAGGGTTTCATATACACACACACATTGCATATACTGGCTGAGGGAAGCCTTTACTGTACGGCGTTTATACATTTGGAATTTACGGTAGACAAAAGGACACGACTGTCCGGGATGATAAGCATAAGCAATTCGATGATTGCTGAAATACAATCAAAAAAAGTATGATGAACACCTGTCCTATGGAATATCGTCGAGGCTGTTCGTGAGTGAAATGATAGAGTGAACGAGGTGGGAAATGAACGACTTAACACCCATCTGAGCTGTCTTGAAGAGCGCCTCTCATGCCGCCATCCCTTCGCTGCGTCCTCCCAGCCACGAGCGCAAAAAAAAACAAGAGGGCGGAGTGATGAACGCGGGTCGGCTATGCCCGTCCTTTGGGAGCGAGAGTTCACATCCCATTCTTGTCGGCTGTTTTTGTCTTTTTGATGGAGCACTTCATTTGCTGTTGATTTGTGTTTTCCTCTGGTTCTCATCACGAATTGTGTCTTCATTGGCAGGCATGAACGATGCGCAGCACAGCCATGGCCAGGGACACAAATATATGGACTCCGGTTGTCGATAAAATTGACGGGATTCTTTGTTGCCCTTTCTGGTAATAGGAAAGGAGAAAGTACACTGTAAATACATGCTTACCAAATAGTGTTAGAGAGCATGCGGACAATACAAAACACCGCTTTTTGTTGAATTTCTTCGCGAACATCGCATCGTTTGTTCGTCGCATTTCACACAGAATCTAGACTCTCTTCCAGATCTCGTCAGCGCTCTCTTTGCGATCGCCCGGGGTGGATTGCAAGAAACGAGGTGTGAAGCCATCAGCCAGGATTTGAGTTTACGGCTTTTTCCTCCCCATACATTGTAGGTCGCTCGGCCTGCTCCTCTTCCTGCCCGCATAGCTCTGTGCTTGTTTCGCCTTGGCATTGGCAAACCATCCTTCCCGTGTTCCGGCCCGCAGATCGCTTGTTAGAGAGACCGCCGCCCAGTTCAGCGTGCGTCGAGCTCTGGCTGTATTTGCATTTCGTCCCGTTCTGGCGCCACTCTTTTGGACTTTTGGACTTTTTAACACGCCCCGAAACAGCTGCTGCGCACGTCAACGGCAGACGGACTACAGGAGGCTGCGAGTTGACTCCACGGCATCGCTCGTCTTGGCACAGCCATCATTTCATCGTCGCCCAGGGTTTGGGAGAGAATGCATCGGGGCGTTTCTGCGGAGTGCTGATTGTGTCCCAATTGAGTTGCTTTGATTATTCCTCTGTGAACGTCGTTCAGTGTCTAGACGTCGACGGTCTGTCCTCTCCAACACGACTCGTCTGGCTGGCAGTCATCCGAATGTAGCACGAGCGGCCTGGAACACCGTAAACCGAAAGTCGTCCCTGTTAGCCATCTTAACCTCAAGACATGAGACCACAGACGACGTCTTATCTTTTTTCTCTTCTTTTTTTTCTCTTTTTCTCTTTTTTCTTCTCATTTTTTTCCCCTTCTGTCTTCCATTCGTGGCACTGTATTATTCCCTCTCTTTGCACATCTTAGACGATCAGGACATCATGATACCGTAAAGGGTCCCGGGAAAGAATAGACTGCACTTGTAAAAAAAGACAACGATAACGAGACGTACGAGGCAAGAAAAGAACTGCAACTCTACACGATCTCGGCTCTTGGATGTACGGTTGACTCTTGGTCGTACCCAGAACGGCAGTCAAACCAAGTATTCTCTACTCTGTGCTTTGGTGTCGTTGATCGCCCTGTTTCTTTACTCTCGACTTTTGCCGTGCAATCGCCATTCCTTGGCACAAGGCGTTTCATCAGCAGTTTTTGGTGCTTCTGTGTGCTTGTTTTTCCATCTGAATACGCTCACACACACGCACGCAAGCCTCGGGACTAGTTACAGCTGTGACCGTTGCATGAGTGATTGCCCGTTTCTGTCTTGCTCTCTTGTTCTAGATTTCCCTGCTTTCTGCGCACACCGTCCCCAGAATCCACGCCCGTGGGATACTGGATATATCAGGCAGCACTTCCACTTCTCTCTCTTACGTTTCTAGATCTTCTCCTTTTTTGGATTTCTCTTTTCTCTTCCTCTCTCTGTTCCCCCCTTCTAATCGTCTTGTCGTTTCCTGTTTGAGAGATCATTCGCCATTCTCTTTTTTGATTTTATAAATAAGAGGTACGTATACGATACTATTCTCGTTGTGAGGGTTCGCCTCTCTGCGCAATCTAACAGTTTGCAGCTGAGCTCTTTCTCCTTCTTTTAACTTGCTGGTCAATTTTTATTTTTATTTCGTCCTTCTTTTCTATACCATGAAGTCTGTCCACTCCTTCGTTCTTCTCGGTGCCGGCCTGGTGTCGGCCGCCACGCCACCCACGCCGGTCGTCGCCAATGGTGCAGCGGCAGCTGTGAACGTGAGCGGTACCACGGCCGTTTCGTCGTCGGCCGTGTCCGCCACGTCGTCGGCCTCTGTCAACGGCCAGAACAACAACAGCAACAACAACAACAACAACAACGGCCAGAACGGCCTCGACCTCGGTAGCCTTCTTAGTGGCTCCTCCAACGGCAATGGCCTCGACCTCAGCAGCCTTCTCAGTGGTTCCTCGCTGTCCTCGTCGCAGCTGCTCTCCGAGTTGTTCGGCGGTCTTGGCAGTTCGTCGTCGTCGTCCGTCTTGAGTCTCAACTCGCTGCTCGGCAGTTCCTCCTCGTCTCTCCTGAGCGGCCTCAACTTGGGCGGCATCAATCTGGCCAGCGTCAACCTCAACAACCAGAACGACCTGCTCAACGCCATTCAGCTCATGTCCGGCGCCCTCTGCCTCAACAACCTCATCAGCGTCAACAGCCTCAGCTCGCTCGGCCAGCAGGGCCAGGTCGAGATGTTCTTGGAGCTGCTGGAGCTCATGGAGCTCGAGCAGTCGGGCCTGTCCAACCTGGCCGAGATCCAGGCCCTGTTCGGCGGCGGCTCCCAGTTTGGCTTCGGCGGCGTGTCGGCCATCAACCTCGGCGTGTTCAAGCGCGCCCTGGCCGACCACAAGAAGACGACGGTCAGCGTCCGCTCCAAGGCGGTGCGTCGCATGCGCGCCAAGCGCCAGAGCGGCAACCTGAACGCCGCCAACTGCGCCGCCATCAGCGGCCAGGCGGGTGCATTTGCCTCGCTTTCGGGTGGCTTGGACACGGCTACCGTCAACGTGGCAAACACGGCTGCGTCGGTTGCTACTGCTGTTGCGACAGCCTCTGCAGCGACGGCGGCAGGTGCGACGGCGGCGACGTCCCAGGCGGCAGCGACCGCCGCTGTTGCCGCATCCGGTAGTGTTGCTGCGGCACCGGCACCGGCCGCTGCCGCGCCCGCCTCGGCTGATACCGGCCTGGCCCAATTCACCTGAGCAGGCAAATAAAAGGAGAATTCGGGGCTTGGGTTTGGGGGATTGCACAACAAGGCTTGGATGGATTTGGTTTTCTGTTCATTATTCTCTTTTGTTCCTTTTGTTTACTTTCCCTGTTCCATGTCTGTATGCACGGCTGCAACGGACGAGGAAACAGGACACACTTGGTACACCAAATTTAGATAGGATACGCACAAAATATATGCCCAGGATGGCTGAAAATATAAAATTAAAAAAACGAACAAAGGTGGCACGACGATCGTGGAAGGAATAAAAGTGGAATCTGTATCAAGATGTTTTCTGAACGACAAGAGATTGCTACATGGCATGGCACTTTGTGACTCATAGTCACAATCTGCTTTCATTGTTTTCCTTTGCTTGTATAAGCTTCCAGATATTTCCGGCTGCGATCGTGAAAGACGCCAGCGTCTCTTTGATCACGGCGAGAACGCAGAACGCCGTCGTCTTGCCTGCATCGTTTTGGCACCATCAAGAGGAAATGTCATCATTTATACGTCGCCCACTCCTTGTCCCTGATTCATCTCCAGCAGCCCGGTGCCTGTCTTCGGGTCTCGGATGCCTTCTTCGTGCCTTTGCCTTTGCATACTCTCTTCGTTCCCAACATGTACGATCTTGGCGGATGCTGTCCGCCTCCTAGTCTTGACAATGCTTGTCTCCTGGGCGGTTTTGGCCTACTTTGCCTTTCTTTCCGGCACACTTTGCTCAGCATTGGCATCGCAACACGGAAACCGGAACCGACAGATCGTTGCTCTCTTATTAGGCTTTGTGTCTTTATTTTTAGACTTTGAGACTGCGTCAGACCATTCCAGACCTTTGTGTCTTGAGTCTCTGTCGTCTTCTCTCGGGTTCTTCGGTTGACCTGCAAAACACCCAAAACACTCAAAACCTTATTTGATGCGATGACAGTTTTTTCAGGAGCGTCTATGTTTCATTGAAAACAAAGGAAATGTGAGGAAAGACGAGGGCCATCGAGGGTGGATATGCCTGGCGATCCGAAATTTAGAATTTTTGATGGAAGCAGTGCTTACGGTAGCAGCATTGAGAACGAGGACAAAGTGTGCTGTGCTGCGAGTCGACACTACGATGATAACGGCTGCATTGTCATGTTCAGCACAATTCAGCAGCTGGGACTCCGCCTTTGGCTTGGAAAAGAGTGTGAAACCAGGAGCAAAGTAAAGAAACGTCGAAAATCTTGCAAAAGGTAAGCATAACAGACAATACCTTGGAAATCTATTAGACATGCTCATAAAAATCTCCGATGCATCAAGCGACCACAAAGAAGAATGCCAGAGGAACCATCCGAGACGCCTTAGCACGGCAATTGTTTGTTCTTTTGCTCTTTCAATACATATTCTAGCAATCGGGCGTCCAGACTCTGGCGGAGCCATGGCTATCTGTGTCAAACAGGAAACGGGAGAAGGGGATAAAAGATCAGATCGAACAGACGATTGCATGTCGTACACGACAAAGCAGTCGATCGCCACCACACAGCAGCGATGGCCTGCGCACTGTCCTTGGTCGACCTGCAGCTCCCATCGCCATCGCTCGCCTTGCATTGCAAGATGATGATGACCCTCGCTTCTATTTCTGTCGCCTCGTCACACGCCCATCGGCCGCACGACTCCCGTCAATGCATGAGGAGAGTGCTGTGGGTATTTTTGTACGCAGTAATACTGGCCAAATGTACGGAGTACGCCGTATGACGCTTTGAAAGACTCCGTACGTTGCATCCCAATGCATTCGCCGGATGTGTTCAGGGCTGCGTCAAGTCGAACAATCTGAAACCCTTGCCACTGCCATTCTGTGACGCGGCGCGGTGCCTTTTTGGACGGAAATCCCCCGTTGCAACCAAACTTCAGATGCTGGGTGGCGCTCTGTATCACCAATTGGCTGCAAGAGGACATGCAGCGTCTGGCTTCAATTGAGAGGTACGTCTAAACATACGCCAATACACACCATTGACTGCATTTTTTCAAACACGGGCAGACGGGTCAACCAAAGAACGGTCTCGTCCGAGTCTATGATGTAGTACTCCAGAGAACAGAGGCACCCTGCACAGACGTTTATTTTGCGTACGGAGTATCTTACGACGACAATGGGACAGGGGCTTTTCTTGGTTCAGACGCTGTTTGCATTTAACCACTGCTGCTAGCAGCAGGCAGTCAATTCGGCGTGTCCTCGTCCACGGACTACTTCAACTCCGTGCAGCCCAGCCTTAAGGAACAATGGGACGCAGACCATGATCTCACGCAACAGAGTCTTGGCGTTTGTGTTTTTGGGGACACTTCATTTTTGGAGGGCGACTTTGAGTCCTTATTCTTTTTTCTTTTTTCAAAAACGATGACTGCAGTGACAATGCTCATGGTCATGCCTCAATAAAATGACATTGCTTGTATGAAGCAAGCCTATGCTGACAATTTGATGCTTTCCTGCCCACCAGCGACTTGCAAACAGAGCCCCAGAGTCACGCCAACAGTATACACAATATCATGACAATTACTTGAATGCTCTCCCGTGCTTTTTGTCTCCATCTCCTCTAATCTTGGCAAAAGACGGCCGAAACTCTGCGAAACAGAGAGCTGGCCAGCTAAACGTCGATCAGGGAGGCAGGCGGTGTGCCTCCATCCGCATCTGCAGTTGCACGCTCTTTGCGGTACGCAGCGTCCTCTCGTTCCTGGGTCAATGCTACCTACCGGCGAGGCAAAACACGCACCACAGCCCCGTATTCTGTACTCCATACCCGTACCCCGTGTCCAAGTCGACCGTTGCTGTGTTGAACGTCGACGTGCCGTCTCCTTCTCGTTCCAATCTGGCTTGGCATGCCCTATGCACAGTGTCCAGCGTCGCATTCATGATTGCATTGGGAGCAAGAGGGCTGTGGGCTCTGTCGCTTCCAGCCTCGTAGTAAGGTTAATTTTGTGCCTCGGACTGTGTCGTCTGTCTCGATACATCCGTCGACGTCACCTGTCCCTGGTCGCGGAAACCTCACGACCCAGCTTGGCGACGACCCCTTCAGTGTGTGGTCAGTGTGTGGTGACTGTATCCCCCCCCCCCCCCCCGTCAACTCCATATAGAACATCGGAAGCTCTATGCAATGCTTATTTTGGCATCAAGTAAAGGACTGGCTCCACGCCCTCGGCCAGCTGGTCTTCCGGAGCTCTCGCTGTTGGCCTCGATCCTCGACCGCGTTGGTCCTTGCTTATGCTGTCTTTTTCTTTTTTTGCCTCTGTCGCCTGCTCAATCAAGCTTCGTCCCCCTGTCCGGCATCTGTTTCTTCCACGAGCCCTGATACCCTCTTTTCCTACCAAGCATCTGTGTTTGTTTCTCGACTTCTCGTCCCTTCCTTCGTGCATCACCCCCCCCCCCCATCCCCGTTTTGTCTTGTTGTTCCGCCTGCTCATGCTCCCACCATACTCTAATTTTCTGGCAAGGGTTCCAGACCAAGATCTCCCTCCATGTCCTCCCCTCTCCTCTGTCCTATGTTTTGCCTTGCCTCTTCTGTGCCCCCGTTTTAGCCATCTTCGTTTCCGTCCGGCAACGCCTGATACCCCCCCCCCCCTTCTCTCCCCTTTCCTCGCCTCTCCACCCTCCCTCATTTCCTTCGGATGTGTTGACAAGACTGGATCCGGACCGTGTCACAAGGCAGGAGACCTTTTTCTTGTGGCTTTTTGTCAGTCTTGGCACCATTGCCTTGGTTCATGCCTTTGCGCTTGTGTGGGTTGTGCCGCATATCGTGGGATGTGCGTCTCTACTCTGCCGCCATCTTGTCTCTTTGCCTCCCATCCTGTATATAAGACTCTCTCCCGTCGTCCCTTCTCCGTCTTCTTTTCGTTTCTCTTTTCTTCATCCACCCAAGCATCTTTCGGTTTCAGTTTGCCCATCTTCAGTCATTCTTTCTTCAGAGGTGAGTTCTTCTCCACTGCTTTTCCTTCCACGTCTTCTCTATAAATACATCCCGACCCCACATCGTGATCATCTCGTCTCCATCTCTCCTCTCTCCTCTCTCCACGACTCTCACTAACAAGAACAATTGCAGCTGTGCTCGCTTCACTCATTCCATTCTTTCAGAACATTTCGAGGTACGAAAACAACAATATCTAAATAAGCCCTAACACACCAAACAAGAAAACTAACCACGTCCTCCCTTAGCTGTGCTCTTTTGTTTATACCCTACTCTTTTAATATTCCATAAACTTCTTTTCGATTTTGAAAAACCCACCCCTCCCTTTTTTTCCCTCAAAATGAAGACCACCAGCATCCTCGTCGGCGCTTTCGCCGCTGTTGCCGCTGCCGCCCCGGCCTCGGACGTCTCGGCCCGCTCCTCGTTCGACCTGTCGCAGCTCAACAACCTCAACTTCCAGAACCAGAACTTCCAGTACCTCAATGTGATCAACAGCCTGGATCTGCAGCTTCTGTCGCAGCTCGGCTCGGTCAACAACTTCAACATTCTGAGCTTCCAGAACCTGTTCCAGCAGAACCAGTTCAACCTGCAGTCGCTCCTGGAGTTCCAGCAGCTGCAGATGGTCCTGCAGCTGGCGCAGCTCGGCCTGTTCAACGGCTTTGACCTGTCGTCGCTCAACTTTGGCAACCTCAACTTTGGCCTGATCAACGGCGTCAGCAGCTTTGACATCAACAGCCTGATTGACCAGTCCCTTGTGCCCCAGATCACACAAGTGATCCAGACTGGTGAGTCCCCCTCTCTTTGCTACTCCGTCGGAAGACATGAGTTTACCTTGCTAACCACCCCTCAGCCGTCATTGCCAAGGAGTAAGGATGATCCTCCAGACTTCTCGACATCGACAACCCCACGAGAGAGAGGTCCCCGAGGCTTGAGGCCCCGGGGCGCAGGAAGGCGTCGGACGGGGGGGGAATGGAAAACGTGAGAGAGAGAGAGGGGAGCCTGGCAAACTTTTTTGTCTGATATTTTTTTCTTGTGTGCTCGCCCTCTTGGTTGGACAAAAACTCCTTTTTTTATTCAA